AGAGAGAGAGAGAGAGAGAAACTCCTTAAATCCAAGGAATTAACTCTGAGCAGTCAGACTCTTGTAATAACCCAGGGATAATGCAGTTACTTTGCTTGGATCCATATCACAGTAAAAAATAAACAGTGAGAAATTAATATGTTGAATATAGTGGTTGACAGTCATGGGGAGAAACTCCTTCTTCCCCTGTTTGCCTAATTTTCTTCCAAGCTTTCCAAGGGGAAATTGAGAAACTAAAATCTCTCTGGTTAGATTCTTGCCTCATATAATCATGTAGACCTAGAACTGATGGTCAGCCTCAGGTAGTTTTGACTGAGTACTTAGTTAATGTAGAACTATGAACAATTAAAATCAACAAGTGTCTGTATGTACTTAGGAGGGCAGTAGGAAATGTGTTTGTCTACATTGCTTACACACCAAAATACAATATGTGAGATATTATTGATTATGATTTACTTATCAGCAACCAAGAAAATGGGAGTGGTATAGGACCATAGAAGAGAAATGTCTATCTTAGGATTTGCTTCACGAAAGATTTTGGTTATGTCCTTTGTTTTAATTGAAAACAATGAGAAAGTACCTTTCCTCCTTTCCCACCCAGCTAGCTAAATAATTACCTCTCACCTTTTCAAGTGTTGCATAGAAGGCAATATCATGAACATCGGAGAATGCCTTTTTGATTCACCGTCAAGTGACATGGGAGCTAAGTGATTTGGAAAAGAGAAGTCCTGATTTTGAACCAGATACTCAATAGCCATGCACACCACTTAGAAACAAAATCACAGGTGCATGGAAATAAATGAACCTCTTATTTAGAGTCATTTTCCAGTGCCTGAGAAAGTGGGAAGATTGTTCTTGTTGGAGAGAATTATGCACATTTCCTTAATCCTACTCATGGGTGAGTTACTTCAGACAAATGCCCGAAAGCACTCAGATAGAAAGCCATTTGCCTATAATAAAACTGTGATAACATGACTACAAGGAGGAATTTAATTCATAGGATGCTTACTCTGAGTTCTGCGAATTAGAGATAGAGATACCGATTCATCACCCTTTCAACAAATTGCTGCATGTAAGTGCATTTTAACCTTTCTTGACTTCGTTTCCTGAAATTTAAAGGGTTGTTGCCACAGAAGTCTCTAAATTGCTTTATAAGAACAGTATATATCTTCAGGTCTGTTGACTGAGATGGGATGTTGGAGAAAAGCAGATCAGAAAGCAATTTCTCACTTAGAATTCAGCTATATGGCCTTGAGTTAGGAGGGCATCTGTGGTTCTGGCTGCTGTGAGTAACTTACCAACATTAACTTTAGAAGCGTCAAGAAGAGAGTGTGTTTTTATAGGAAAACAGGTGGAAATGCATCTATCCTGAAATGATTCCTCTTTTTCTACTTGAAAGATGTGAATGATAACTTCAATTTTTATTGCCCATAGAGATATGACATTGGCATGTTCAAAATGAGGCAACAGAACAGTTCAGTCAAAACTGTGAAGGTTTGGTCTTTGCCACCACAACATCTCTTTCTGTGACAATTTTCTGTCTTAGCTACTTTAGCTGCTCTTTCTTACTCCTTT